TGGCTCTGGATGTTTCTACTCCAGACTCAGTCCACTGCTTCCGCAGGTCCCCCAAGGACTGGAATCGGCCCTTCTCCACAATCCTCCTCAGGGTCCGGTCACCTCTTCTCGTTGTGCAGCGTTTTCTGCCACACTTTTCCCTTCCCACAGACTTCCCACTGAGGTGCCTTGATACAGCACTCTGGGAACAGCCTATTCGTTCAGCAATTTCTTTCTGTGTCTTACCCTCTTGCTTGAGGGTGTCAATGATGGCCTTCTGGACAGCAGTCAGGTTGACAGTCTTACCCATGATTGTGGTTTTGAGTAATGAACAAGGCTGGGAGTTTTTAAAAGCCTCAGGAATCTTTTGCAGGTGTTTAGAGTTACGTCGTTGATTCAGATGGTTAGGTTAATAGCTTGTTTAGAGAACCTTTTCATGATATGCTAATTTTTTGAGACAGGCATTTTGGGTTTTCATAAGCTGTATGCCATAATCATCAGTATTAAAACAATTAAAGACCTGAAATATTTCATTGGTGTGCAATTAATCTGAAATATATGAAAGTTTCATTTTTATCATTACATTATGGAAAAAAATTACCTTTATCACAATATGCTAATTTTTTTAGAAGGCCCTGTAAATAGCTTCATATTCTTTTCTACTGTTGAATAATGACAATTACATTGATATTTTATTTTTTTTTATCATAAAACTGGTCATGTTAATCAACAAATATGAAATGGTAACAGTAGAAAGTGCCTGTTCTGAACAGGATTTGATGTTTCTGTTCTCTCTACAGGAAAAGACTGCCTTGATATCGCTGTAGAATTTGGAGACTCAGAAATAGTAAAGCTGGTCAAAGACAAGATGGATTCTCTGCCTAAACTGAAGGACCCTGCAAAGGAAAAGAGTGGCAAATTAAAATCTGGCCCAAAAAAGGTACCCAAGTAACTCCAAGGAAGTCATTGAACTTCCCTCTAAAAATAATAAACTAACCTCTTCATCCTTAGATATTTTGTTTGTTCTGTTTATACTCTGTGAAATAAGAAACGTCATCATGTTTTGTACACAACAATAGCAGAATTAGAGTATTTACAAAGCCTATTTGTATCTTTAGAAAAAAATACCTTCATGGCTTACAGGCTCTAATGCCATGAACATAAAAAAATATTTCTTAAATGTGCAAATGTTTTGTGTCCTACTGCCAGCTTAAAGTTGTGCAGAAAAATGTGTAGAGTAAAACAGAACTGTACGGAACCAAACGTTGGAGCCTGGACGCACCATTTGTTTGTGAAAATTAGTATTTTATGCTTCCATTCATCCATCTTCTCAAACACACGTGATTAGACCGTACCAGAAGGCTGAGGAGTGTTTCCCAGGTAACTAGATCACATCCTGAAAGGAGAATAATCACCCCAGGCCCCAGTGTCAACAGGGGACATAAACTGTGTCAACAAAGACAGCACAGCAACACCCCGAGCCTTGAGAAACTTAAGACAGATCCAATCAGAAGCCACTGATGTAAGGTGTGAATCTACTTATAGTCCTCCCCCCCACCCAGCCACCCCACCCTCCACCTCCAACCTCCAGCTTGGTACCTATGCATTTGAGCTTCCCCAATAAATACGAGGCTAGCACTGACTGTTTGATCAGATGTCAGGGGAGGATGCTGGATAGACCAGGTAGACCCAAACATTTAGTGGGACTTTGTGGGGAACACCTGGCAGAAGAACCCTTCAGAGGGCTTTTTAACTCCCACCTCTAAGAGAGCTTCAACTGCACCCCAGCATAGTCAGAGGACATTGAGTCTGTTGGCCATGTTCTGCACCTCCATCATTGAGGCAACTACCCTGAGCTGTGGTCGCAAGTGTAACGCTAACTGTTGAGCTGAAAAAGGACTTCTATCAGAGCTTGTTGGCTAGCAGGACTCCAGAGACAGCTGAGACTCACCCTGGTCAGCCTTTTTTTCATAGCACACCATACCTTTGAATTTGAGTTGAACTTTATTGAACGTAGTATAATAAAAGAATAAACAAATTTATATAAAAAGAAAATGAATAGATGAACTTTATTTAAGAAGGGACAATGCGCAACTCAAACCTAAATATTACCATTTGATGCGCTGTATCAGATTATAGCAAAAGCCAATTCGCATCTGCAGTCCCTTGGCAAGTTAAACAAAACAATGGATATACAATGCAATAATAATATGACAGAAAATATAACACAACAAATTGCTTTCAAATCACAGTACACAAACACACGTACAAACTCAATCATTGGCACACACACAGTCTTACAGTTAATGTTTGCATACCTGAGAGTTTTTAACAGTTTTTTCAGATTAAATTCGAAAACTCTCTAAGAGCTGCAGCTCCTCACATCATCAGGCAGTGCGTTCCACTGATTAGTAGCCTTTACAGAAAAAGCTGATTGCCCAGTAACAGTACGGCAAAATGGGATGACACGATCTCTCACAGATGATATCCTTGTGGATCGGATTGTCTCTAAACAATTAGATTAAGATATACTTAAGTATACACAAAATCAGACAGCTGGGGGTGGGGGTGTTTGGGGGGCAAACCATTTACGATTTTATAAACAAGGCACAAGTTACAAAATAATCAAAAATTTTCAAAGTTCAAAAACTTGTATTTCTCTAAAATCCTACAGTGGTGATAGTGCAATGGCTGTTTGTCCAAAGTTTTTAGAGTCTGTTTATATAAAGAGTCAAGAGGTCTTAAAACACTATCACCAGCCTGACCCCAACAGGTGATACAGTACAACATATGGGATAAAATCATGGCATGCATGAATGTCTTAGCTGCATCAAGTGAGAGACAATGTCTAATATATTTAATTTTTTTAATATTGAATTTAATGACTTTAGCCATATTCTTAACATGCTTCTTAAAATTCTAATTTGGATCAAGGGTCATTCCAAGACATTTAAATTCAGTGACTATCATTTTTTTTCCTCTTTAATGTAATATCAATACTAGGTGATTGTACCATGGTTTTAGAACAAAACATACATTTGATCTTCTTTACATTTAGAGTCATACATGACTGATCTAGCCAACAGGTGATCCTCTGCAGAGCAGTTGTTAGTTTAGCAGATACTAAGTCAGTTGTTTTAGCATGTACATAGATCACAGTATCATTAGCATACATCTGCAAAGTCACATCAGAGTCAGAGTCTGAGAGTCAGAGAGATTTATTTGTCATACACACCACACGTGATACATGAAGTGGGACGAAACTATGTACATAGGGTCCCAGTTACATTCAACAAAAACACAAATTGTAAAGAAAAACATTAGTAAGATCCGAGTCATGAACTAAGAATATACTACATTCACTAAACTAAGAATACACTAAGCACTAATGGTACAAAAACAATGCGCCAAAACAACAGCAGCACGAACATGAGTCTGTATGAGCACACTGTTCAGAAAGATCATTAATATTCATTCAACCTTTATTTAAACAGATAAATCACATTGAGCCTCGAAGACTCATTTACAAGACCTGTTTGGACAAACAAAAACAGTGGTTAGAAAAGGAAAGAAAACAAGAACAAGAAATACAAGCTAACCAGTAAGGGACCGGACACTGATGCTTGTGGGACACCCATATTACACACCAAATTACTTGCCCATACATCAACAACCTTCACACATTGTCTCCTATTTGCTAAATAGGAAGATAGCCAGGCCAAGGCTCCAGGAGAAAAATTAAAATTGAGAAGTTTTGATAATAAAACATGGTGATTAACTGTATCAAAAGCTTTATGGAAATCTAAAAATACAGCACCGACTACACCCCCTTTATCAAGCCAAGATTTAATTTGCTCTATTAGGTACAGAGTAGCAGTCTCGGTCGAGTGGTTGACTCTAAAACCAAACTGCATCCAATGTAAACCAAAATTGCTATTAAGTAATACAGTGATTTGTTCAACAACTTTTTCTGCAACCTTGGAGAACACTGGCAGGATGCTAATAGGTGCCAGCTTCACAGCGGTCTCCACATTTAAAAACAGGTGTGACAATAGCACATTTCCAATCCTCTGGAAAGTGGCCTAGTTTAAAAGACAAATTAACTAAATGAGCGATAGGTTAGAAAAAGTATCTTTAAATGACTTAAAAAAAACTTTGTATCAAGATGAAATGCATCTTTACATTTAGAATTTTTAAAGGAGCTAGTGATTTCTTTTATTTGCAATGCATTTTTTCCCTCCAGCTCAAAGATTGGGTTTGTTGTATCAAATGGAGAAATAATTTGTGTCCTTTTTAAGAAAGTTTTTCCCAGATCATAAACAGACTCAGAAAAATATATATTAAAAGCACAGGCAACTGCACGATGATCTTCAACTAACTTTCCATGGATTTTTAAATGTATATTTCCTGAAGGTTTTGTGTTCCTCCTAGTAACATTATTTATATTTTCCCAAATCAGTTTATTGTTGCCTTTCACCTCATTCATGATGTTAATATTAGGGATGGGGCCGATCCGATCCAGTATCGGTATCGGCCTCCGATACCAGCATAATTTATGTAACAGATTTTTCCGATCCACCTGCCGATATTTCCGATCCATGATGCATGTTGGCATCAAACTATGGAATGGATTTCCTGAACGGCGGCGTGTCTCATGAACCCAGAGTAATAAGACCCGCCTCACATTCAGGAAATCCAGTTCATAGTTTGCAGCCAGCTACAACGTGAGGGCTGAGTTAGCAGCACTGTGGCTAACAGCTAACAAACTTTTCATCTAAACATGTCCGCTGTGTGGAAGTATTTTACACTAAACACCACAAAACAAGACAGCAACGTGCAATGTCTGCAGAGCCAGAGTGCCACATTAAACCACGGTAAAGTTAGTTTTATGTTGGACATTTGAGCTCCGTGGCTTCAGCGGGGCGCTGCTCTTTGCTCAACTGGAAAGAGGCGACTCGACCCCGGCCAGCCACTTCCAATCTGCCCCGCTCAGTCTGCCCGTCTCCGAGCAGGGGCAGACTGAGCGCGGCTGCCCCAAATCAGGCTGCCTGCTTCAGATTGAACAAGAAGAAGACATCGCTGAAGCCACGGAGCTCAAATGTTTACTGAGAAGTTGCTAAACTTCATCATGATTCATGACCAACTACTATCAGTTGTAGAAAACAAAGGATTTCACAGCTTCATACTTGCAGCCAAGATATAGTTTACCCTCCAGGAGATATTTATCAGTACAACAGTAGACAATCATAAAAAAACCCATATGATTTTAAAATTATATTAAAAACAAAACCAGCTACATTATTAAGTGATGTAAAATACTAAAAACGGGAACATGTCTGTTGGTTTATGCCATGAACTTAGCAGGTGTTTGAAGCCATTTAACATTTGATTTAATTCATTCATTTAAAATAAACAAAATTAAAAAGAAATCATCAAAAAGAAAGCATTGAATGAAAAGAGTGCAGAAAGAAGAAAAAAATTATTATATCTGCCCCTTATTTAAAAAAATATAAAATAACTTTAAACAATCACTTAAAATTAATCACTTTAATATCCACTTTAAAGCTAGGAATAAAAAGAAACGTGTTTTGTGTTAGCAGAATTTAATTCTAACTTTAAAACGTATCCAAAATTAATAAAACTTACCTCAAGTTGCCTTTTTGGACATGCATGCATATTTTTGTACAAATTGTACTTGAGAGGAGATTATTACAGCCTCATATAAAATCAATGTTGATGATGATATCGGAACTGGATCGCTATCGGCATTCATATTCATCAGAAAGACTTCCTCAATCTGAGGTACTGTATTCAGCTCAGTCTCTTAAATAGCACCTTCTCAGAGTGGATCAACCAGTTTGCTGCTGACAACCAAAACCAGCTGCTCACATGGTCAAGAAGGACCATCAGCCTAACAATGGATCATTAGCAGACTGATGG